ATGTCTGCCGTAATAAATAAACAATTTATCGTCTGTCATAACAAACTCTTGATGTACACAAAAATGTTTCTTCAGAATACATGTATATTTTATTATATAACAGATTATCACAGACATGTTTGTATACTTGTAATGACATGTTTAACAAAATATTCACACACACATATATATATACATAACTGATGCCTATAATTGTTAGTTTCTAATATTTTTCAATAACATATATCAAGGAAACCAAAATAATCTAGTAAAAAGCAAATTCAGTATAACGAAATTTTAAAACTTCAGTAAAAAATTGCACACTCTGATTACATTAATCAAAATATCTTCATCTCGTGCAATTAACAGGCTGTCAACCAAGTCTTCCTAAAAATATAGGCGAAATAAAGGAATAGGTATTTTTTCAACAAATATAGGAGTTTTTCGCTAGTTTGAAGGCAAAATAGGAGTTTTCCAAATGAAAATCGTTTCCTTCAGAGGCATGTATACTAACAATTCTTACATTCACTTACTGTTTGTATATTAATCAATTATTAAAAAACTACCTTAAAGTAACCATTCACTTCAACAGCATCACAATCCAGACAGAGAGCTGCTACATCGAACATCATCATCATCATCATCATCTGAATGGGCACCTAAAAGGCCAATATCCTGTTGTACTGCCTTGTAAGGTGCCCATACAGGTGATGAAGAGATGCACTGAATCATTTTCTGGTGGCTGGTGATGCTTAAGAGTTCTCTAACTTGTAAAATAAAAAGGCAGTATCAAAGAAATATTTACAATATCTACATTTATCGGCGACAAATTTCCCACAAAATATAGGAATATGTTTCAAAAAATAGGAAAATGTAGGAAATATACGAGGTCTTTCAAATGAAAGGAAAATATTAGAATGTAGGAATCTGTTGACAGCCTGAATTAATGCACAACTGGTAATCAAACATTTACACTTTTCTGCCAATACCTATGTTTTTATACACTAGTATTAGTGGTATAACACCAAGAGATGTTCACAATGGATGATTACGTTTCACCATTTACCAACAGATATTGTGGGAGACTGGAGATAAGTCACAGCATGTCGACCACAATAAGTTTTTTCCACGAAAATGGAAAAATTCTCTAGTTAAACAACTTCAAAAAGACAAAAGAATTGAGCATGGGATATATCAAAATCTACTCAGTTGTTTGTTATAAGGCACATCATACATTTCTCCAAACACTTTGTGGCTGGTTGGCTTGTTCCACAATCAGTGCAATTTCCCTTGTGAAGAATGGTTGTATAGAATTATTTTTCTGACTTAATCACCAGGTACTATTATTCATATCAAGCGGACACTTTTGTGATCAGCATACCGTTTGTACAGTTGTACACAGTGTTAGATTTGTAGAAACCGATTATCATATGAATATAAAACAATAGTTAAGGAAACAAAAGGATGAGAAGTATTTGATTGTATCACTATTAGATAAATAGATGCTGTGTTAATTAATCAGTTTAAGTGATTAACCCAACATAATGATCAATGATTGGAAACACTGGTGAAATCATAACTACTCGTCCTGATTCTCCATAGCAATGTTTGATTAACAGTATACCTAGTAAGTCACTGTCCTTATAATGGCATTATTCTTGGTAATTGAAACTACTGTAAAGCTGCATGTCAATAATTTGTTTTTTAAGAATTAATCAATATCACCATCCTGGCTATAATCTTCTATTCTTTCTATTTGTGATAATACAGGACACAGGCTCATCATACCTACAGGGTTTGTCTTCAGTGAACCTCGAAGCACATTTAGGTTAAACTGTCGGTTTTGAAAGAAATTTGACACAAATAAAGAAGTTTCCTGTCCAAAAGCAGACAACCATTGTCCTCCAACTCTGATCTGCCATTCTGCATGTCTGTATTCATTGTATACTGTTCCTGTTTCAGCAGAAGAAGAGGTTACACTGTAAACTGCCTCTGTAAGACTTTCGTTGTGTACGATAGTAGTAGCAGTTTCAGTGCTAACTACCTTGTTCGGTGTTTCAACTGTTTGAGCAGGTGTAGAGGTTCTTCTATAAATTTCCGTGGAAAATATTTCATTGCCACTGGCACATAGACTCTCTAATTCTAGGGATGGCTCTAACTGAGCTTCAGCTTTTGCTTGCCATGATTGGTCCTCTATCAAATTATAAAGCAAATGAAAAAGTTGAGAACATGTTGGAGGTGGTTGATAATGGAATGAGGTTATGTAAGTCAGGGCTCCTTACAAATTACACCCAACCACAACACTGAATTTGAAATATGTGCCACGAATGCATTTCCATTTTCCAAAAGACTTAAGTTCCAGTTCAAGTGACTAATAATGTAGAAGACAGCGCCCTGAGATGAATTTTTTCATTGATGTAGGTCAAAGGTCAAAATGTCAAAATGTAGAGTACAGTCTCTATATTTAAAAATGAATGAAGGTACAAACATTTGAACTTGACCCCTGACATTGACTTTTAGTCGGTTGACGCCTTGTTTAATTTCTACCAACTGTACTTCATAATGTCATAAGAAATAAAATCTGTTGAATAACGAAGGAGTAATGGCAAATATAACCTGTTTACAATTACAAGTTACCTTGGTTACAGGTTTTTTTCTCAGAATAATTGTGGCAACCATGTGATAAATATGTATCATAATGATTTCTAATATGCACTTACCTATAGGGAGTGGAACCTGACCCTGTGAGAAGCATGGATGGTGTTCATTATCTGTTTGATGAGTCTCTTCACCACCATTTTCCATATTTAGCATGTTCGCTGTATTTGAAAGGTCTTGATTTGTTCTCCGCAATGATGCATCACCAAAGTCGTTCACTAGACCTGTGTGGTCAAGACTAGTCTCCCCTGAATCCTTTTCTGGCTTGAGTTCATCAGCTTGCAACAACTGATTCTGTCCATACAGAGAGCCATATCCAGACTCAATTAATTTTGAGGAGATTGCCATAATGCCTTCATTTTCCTTGGCAGATTCTGTCTCGTCTATTTCTACATGAGGTTTTCGGTTGATATTCTCATTGGATGGAACAACTTTAGAACCCTGATCTGTTGGTTGGGAATATTCCTTGGGGCCAGACACCTGTTCTGACCATAACCCTCGGGTACTACCAGATGTAGTTGTATTTCCTGTCTCCATACATCCCAGACATGTCTTTGCTGAACTTGTCTGTCCACTAAAATCCACTGTTGCAGAGGACCCTGAAAAAAGTCATCACATGAATTGGTGTGTCCATGTTTTAATTTTCAAGATATGAATCAATAAGAGATAAGATAAGTTGCAATTAGGGTAGGAGATGGTGCCCGGACAAACGTTTTCTTTGATGTAGGTTAAAGGTCAAAATGTAAGTCAGAATACATGTGCAAGCTTCCCTCAGGGATTACATACCCCGTGAAAAGTATGGAGGGGTTCTTTAGTTACATGTACTGCAGAATCAGACTTACCAACCATTTGAGGAAGCCTTTTGCTGTCTGTGGTATCCTTCATCATCACTTTCTTTATGCTAGATTCTCTCACTACATTTGCTGCATCTACATTAAGCATGCTCTCCTCCTTTGAAGGGTCTAAATCTGTACTCCTCAATGCTGCATCGCCTGAGTCGTTAACTAAACCTGTGTTGTCAAGACTAGTCTCTGCTGAGTCATTTTCTGACTTGGATTCTTCGGACTCACTTAATTTTGAGGATATTATCTTCCCGTCTTCACTCTTGTCCATAGCAGATTTGACCCGGTCTGTCTCTAAACTGTCATCATGAATGGTATTCTCATTGGATGAAGCAGCTGTAGCACCATCAGCTGTTGTTTGGCAAGAAGAAAAAACATCAATTGCCACACTTTTTCATTTCAACATATTACTTCATGATAAATAAAATAATTATGTATACTGATACACTTGTCCATGGTGACGATCTGAAGAAAATGTAAATATCTGAATTACCTGTTATATGCTATTCTGATAACTTTCAACACTAACTTAAATACCTGGAATCTCTTCACTGATGACAGCGGTATTCACTTCTTCTGTCTCCTTCTTCCATACTTCACTTGGATGTGGCTATAAAAATTACATACATGTAAAAAGTGAAACAAAATAACTTAATAATCAGAAAAAAGTATGCACACAAAATAAGACAACTCATACAAATTATCTTTTTCAAATTTCAAATAACAAAATTTTAATGTTGAAAATTAAAAATGCATAACCAACATGTTAAAGCCAATATGAAGGGGGAGCAATGATTTAGGATATAAATTGCCCCCTTCCCTCCCCCTTGGTCAACAGTATCCCATCCCCACTCCCCAACACACACGCACACACCATATTGTCTTTAACATAGTGATAATAGTTTGAAAATATACAAACACAAGCATTTACATTACAACCTCATGTATACTCCATTTTTTGAAGAATTTTAAAATTAGTGTTCTAAATTTTATAAATTCTCAGGAAGATTAACAGTTGAATGACATATCAATTTTAGTCAAACATGACACTGAAGTATACCACATACACTCAACTTTACTGTCCAGAGAAAGGGGATCAAATTTGAAGCCTTAATTACTCTGTTGATGAAATAAAGAAATGTTTTACACGACAATATCCACATATTTTGACCATATCATAATCAACTCACCACATCAGACTGGATGCCATTTGTCTGATTTGCAGGAACATCAGAACTGGTGGAGGGCCTGGTAAAATGGTCAGTAGAGGGCCCTGTGATACGGTCAGTGGAGGCTCCAGTGATATGGTCAGAGGAAGACCCAGTGATACGGTCTGTGGAGGCTCCAGTGATATGGTCAGAGGAAGACCCAGTGATACGGTCAGTGGAGGGCCCAGTGGTACGGTCAGTGGATGGCCCAGAGGTACGGTCAGTGGAGGGCCCAGTGATACGGTCAGGGGAGGGCCCAGTGATACGGTCAGTGGAGGGTCCAGTGATACGGTCATTGGAGGGCCCAGTGGAGAGGATTGCTTCATTATTTAATTGATTTTCAACAGGATTATCAGAAGCCGAGTTTGAAATTACCCTGGCAGCAGAACCTTGATTCTGATTCCTGTTCTTATGCACTGTAGTAGCATGTGCTTGTTTTCTAGAAGAATTGTTCGGACAATCATTAATATCTCGATTTTGACTCCTTTTCATATGACCAACAACATTCTTTTGTAATTTTCTCTCCTTTATAGCTGCCTTGATGACACCAGTTGCTACATATTCTTTAAAACGAGGATTCTCTGTTAAATCATAAAACTGGATTGAGCGAATTGACCTAAGTCCTGTAAATCCAATCTTTTCAGCTTTTGTTTGAACAGGGATAATAGCATTTCCCCTTTGACGTAGAATACAATCAAAAAGATATTCTACAATTTTCTGATTACTGGTTAAACCAGATATTTTGGCAATGTGATTTCTGGCTTCATCTTTATCCATAAACTTTGTCAGTTCGATCAGTTCTTCCACCAGATGTTTCAGCTTTTCATTCTTCATTAAATTATCAGTGATAAAAACCAATATCTTCATACATTTTGCTGACACTTCCTCTGTTTGTCTGTGGACATTAACTTGTGGGAAAATATCATAATCATCATACAAATGTATTGTTGGATCTGAAAGAATATCTTCAGCTTCCCTTGCCAAGTCTGTGAGCCATGGAACAAATTTAGTTTTCACAAGATCAAAATCCTCATTGGAATATATGACAACCACGTCAACAAGGTTTGGTATTTGATCCTGAAACTCATATGCTTGAGAGTGTGTTGTTGGCCCCGAGTCCATAACAGCATCATACTCCAACTCATCATTATGTCTACCTCTTGTTTGCCCGTTTTTAGATATGTTGCTCCTTTGAAATGGTGACATAGGATTTTCCAATGTGCCCCTTGGAATGTGATTCTTGTCTTGATTCGTATTGGTCCTTGGTCCTTTATCATCGGGCTGCTTGCTCGCCATGCTTTAAAAAACTGTGTGTAAAAAAAAGAAGTGAAAAAGACGTACATTCCAAACAAAAAATTTACTTTATTGTAAATGTACTATATTGCTTTTTCACTGAGTGTTGTGTTGACAGATAAATATCCTCAACTGACAAATGGTGGAGCAGTTTATGTGAAAGTGCAAAATTTACAAAGGATCATAATCCGGACATCTTTGTAGTCATAAAAGGGATGATATGTAATTATGTCCAGTTTCAAACTTCTGATTGTGCCCACACGTTAAAACAAATCTTTATTTCACACATATAAAGTTAAACACATTCATCATTTAGCAGTGATCTGTAACAAGAGCCTGAATATGTCTGTTAAGTCTGTTACATTTCAGGGTAAAACTTTTCATTTTCGTTTTTTTAAATTTTCATTTAAAACAAGATATTATTAAATTTCACAATTTTTATCAAATAAAAGGACATCTGATTTTCGTAACTATTGCTTCTGTTGTCAATTTTCAAATATCTTATTACTGTATGCATATAGTGTACAAATTACAGCACAGCTAACATCCTCAATACTCCAGGGTTAATGCTCACTATTGCTCTCTGAATCCCTGGAACATTACATGGCAAAACTGAAGGTTCTCGGTGCACAACTTGTATATAATACAAGAACACTAGTTTGATCATTCGATGTACATCATAGGAAGATTGAGGTTGCATAACGATACATTGTATTGGCTTTGAAGTTGGATGTTGCTACTTTGTTACCTTAAAAGGAGTGTATCAGTTTGTGATTGGTCAGTTTTTTCTTCAAATTACTTTGATTGTGCCTTCAATTTTGCTGTGAAATGCTCCAGTGGTGCAGAGAGCAAAATGATAATGACTCTTGGAATATTGAGGATGAACAGCTAGACGCATACCAGGGAGGTATAATGCAGAATTATGTCCAAACTGTTTACAATTTTTTTTTGAAATGATCAAAGCAAAACATTCATGAATCATTGCACTTGAAAGTCCCCAGTTTACTTGTTCAATGGCCAATTCAGCTAGAGACAGTATCATCAGTATCGCAATAGTCTTCTATTACAAATTAATTACATTATGGATAATGTTTCAATTTTCATTACTTTGAGGATCAATTTTTTTGCCATCACATGGATATTCAACAAAACAGAGAAAATATTGCACTTCCTCTTGATGATGAGATATCTATGTGTCTGGCTTCATTTTAAAGGCAAAAAAGAAAATTCTAATCACATGATATATAAGGTAAACTATCTGTTCATTTCTGTTGAGTTAGGGTATAAGAGGAAGTGTTACCAAAATATCATCCAAGCAAAAATAACTGGTTATACAAATCATTGTCACTTTTAACATTACATTGTACATCATGTATGTAGACCAGAATATCAGAATAAAGATATAATTTTAATCATGGCACTAATAACAAGCATTCCTTTCCACTGGTTGCTTTATCAACATATAATTGATCAAACAGGTTTTGTATTAATATATCTATTTATAGAAAAATGTAGGGGCACCTTTTCTTATCAGGGATTAATCTAGATAAATTTTACTACCGGAAAGGTGTTGTACTATTTCCTCTAGAAGTATGTTTTCTCCTCAAAAAGAAATTATATTGAAAACATGGGGAAATTTCCCCAATTAGAGAAACTTTCTCCAAAACAGAGCTGATAACTATATTTTTACTTAGCATGTTTTCAAATCATACCATCAAGAAATAGAAATATCATTATAACTTCTACATTGTCATATTTTATTCATATACATTTTGAATGTACATGTATGTCATATATTTTAACCTTATCCCTCTGTTATGACCAAAAGGGGTATCCAACATTGTTCCATGGCTCAAATATACCCCAAACTTCTCTTTCTTTCATATTTGGTAGTGTTCCCAAAATTCTACAGTAATCCATGCTAATACGTTCCTACCAAGATATATGTTCCACCGTGGGTGGGGGATCCTCTATTTTACTTTCGTTTTAAACAATTGAAAATGTTTCCAACCTTTGAACTTGTTACAGTTTCATGGGATCTGGAACCGTTCAGGCATAGCCTTCCTTATGTTAGGTAAGTTATCCATATTACAAAACCTGGACGTGACTTTTGTCATCGAACTGGATACAAGTTGTAATAGTTTAACCAATACCGATACTCTTCTCTTCAACCTCCAAGCAGACAATTCTTAAAATAGCAACAACAAAATCCACACTTCCAACTTCCGGGACTTCCTAAATCCACATTCTGGCGTAAACTGACATGCGCAAGGGCCTTAAACTCTGTTTGACAAACAACATCAAATGATTACCGAAATAAAGTGTAAAGTAAAATAGAGTTATTTCATCAATATTTCAAAGATTATGGTACAGAAGACTTTGACTGGTATGGTTACGGTGACGAAATAGCATTAACAGCCTCACATTACGTTGTTTGATAGAAATTTGTGCGACGTGACTGACTTGAAATTTGATCAGTACGAATTATGAAGTCCTTTCACATTCCTGTGTATAGCATGTTGAAAATAAAATTAAACGGTAATTGTAATTTGTTTACTTAATAAACGCCAACCATAAGAGATCCATGGACCTTGACGATAACCTAAACCTGGATAATGTTTTTTGAAGTGTCGGCATGTCTGTCCCTTTCATTCACGATATAAGGCTCCATTCAGGGACTGGGTAAGCACCCAGTAAATAATACTATTTGATAACAATTTACTCCAAAACACCCGAAATTACCCCCCAAAACATCTAAATGCTACACCAAAACACCCCCTAAACTACTCGACTATATAGCCAAACAACACATACAAGACGATATATCTATATACATAAACGTTTTTTAAAACTAATCGAAGAAAACCTTTTGCACCGCCAAAGTCTATTTAAAGGGATTGGTAAATTTGGCGAGTAGGATATTTGAAGTTTGATATTAAGATTTTTGGCTTTGGAGTGCCAAAAGTACGACATATTAGGGCACATATAGTAACTACAAACTTTCTGCATATTGCTGATATTCCTATATATTTGCTCATCCGGCTTTGGTAGAATCACATTTTGTTGAAATAAAGTAATAATATATCTGTAATAGGGTTAAGTTCTATGTAATTTTGGCCGCTGTTGTCTAGCGTCGCGTCGTTGGGATTTTCGCGCCGTCTGTAATCGTTATAAATGTATGTATATATGTTGCGTCTATATGTCCAGTTTGCCCGTGTGACGTAGTGTGTCTATATATGTCCAGTTATTGTCTCGTTTTCGTTCTTTGGTCTTTGTCTGTATTTGGCGGGTTTTTAGTGGACAAAGGGGACATTGACTACTACGGACGAGTGAAACCTCCGTCCGGCTTACGAACACATTTGTCCCGTAAATTGTAAGTCATATTTTACCTATTGCTTTGAAACATCAATTATTGTATTATATATCTTGTGTAACGTCATTTGTAATGATGTAGAAACTTATTTATCAAAATTTATTATTGTATACGCTTATAATACTGCCGATCTTACCGTCGGTTTGAAATATACAATGACCCGTACTTTGTAATTACTTATATATGCGTTGTTTTAATTACAGTAATCATCTAGATCTACGATCCAATGATATCATTCATTTGCCTACGATCGAGCCCTATGTTACTTTAGGACCCTTAACCCATTGTTGGGGTATGTTTTCACATTACATATTGTTTATAATTACATAATATTCTATTGAATTATTAAATAACGTGTAACGTACCATAGCTATAGTGTGTCGCTATATTCCTTTTTTTATGTTGAACTAAGTATTTGTATTTATATAATATAAGTACAGTAATTATACATGTACATGGTGGAACAATTGAACTCTCTTTTGAGATAATTACAACTGTGATATTATCTGTAATGTATATTACGTGAGATATTTAATGTATTGTAAGGGATCGTATTTATGTGTTTTATGTATGTTATGTTGTAGGGTCTTTAGGGTTTTTACCTAATAAATGGATGGAACCGGATATGGTGTTCGCCCTCATTATTTTTGAAATAACCAACCAATTTTACATATCAGTTCGACGAAAATAAACGATGCAACAAGTATTTATTACATGACAATGATAGTTTTGTGCACTGTAGACAGATTTGGTGGAGATGTTATCATGTGGCTGTCGAAATTTCCATCGAATGTTTTGGGGTAGTTTTTAAGTGTTTTGGGGGTTGTTTTTGGGAAAATTGTTATGCGCTCACGGCTTGATATTATCAATGAATGATCAGCATATAGTACAATTGATAGAGAGGTTCTACAACGAGTGGCAGTTGGTTATCATCGTTATTTTACCAGAGTTAGTTAATTTTCAAATTTAGAAAAGACACGAGGCTTTGCGGATTAGAGTAGTGCTTCTTCGCGGGAAAATGTGAATGCAGAAAAACCTGTATCTTTATTCCGAAACCACGTTGCCCGTCTCCAACCTAATATCAAAGATTGGGAAACCAAAATTACTGCATTTACCAATTACAATTCCCTTTTCCCCTCTACACAGTTTTACCACATCACCGATCTTGACCGCCGAGTGACAAATCGTCACTGTCAGCCATGTTGCAGACGATGAAAACAATCGCACGTGGCGAAAGTAGTTCGGGGTCACAGATCATGGTTGGGTCAAATGCCAATGCTTCGTCCAATAGATTTGGCTGTCACCAATAATACACGTATGTATTATGCGTATGAATAAACAATGAATATGGTTGTTAATGAATAGTCTGGCCGTGAGATAACATACGCAGGTTATGGTAGAAAATGAATGAACGAACTTGGCTTGACTGCACTCGTTTTCTTCCTCTTTTTCCGTATATAAAAAAATCAACCGTTTTCATCTCACTCTACAAATGAATCATATGGAACAGCAGGAAGGAGTACAAAGGAAGGCAACAAAACAACTACCTGGAATGGAAGACCTGACATATCTAGAAAGACTGTTGAAACTGCGGATCTTTACCTACAGGTGTACAATACTGTGAGAGGGAAATAAGACGAGGGGCAACACAGGTTATAAAGATTTGGTCTGATACCTCAGAAAGAACCAGCAAAGGACAAACTCGTTGAAAATATTCGCAAAACGGAAATATCATTCTCCATAAGAATAACAGCAGTATAGAACGGTTTGCCTGATCACATAGTAACTGCAAACACACTAAACAGCTTCAAAAACAAACTCACGGGAGGACTGCTGGAATAGACAGCAAATTACAGTACAACAACTAGGAGGGGACAATATGTATAAAAAAAACGATGTGAAATTTATAATTATAATAATAACTCTTATGAGTCCAGCGAAGAGGATCCCTCAAGAAACGTGTACTTCAAAATTGGAATAATTTAAATTAATTAAAGTTAATTTGCTGCGCAGAAGGTGCAACACTAAGTAATGGGACGCTCTATCTTATATGATTCAGTTTACCTTAAAAAATCGTGGGGTAGTGCTTTCTTGATAAAAAAAGAATAAATGAAGTGTCACAGAGCAGCCATTGTAATGGACCTCGAAATAACAGTAATTTTTTATTTTTCTTACCAATCTGGTGTAAACCCACTTAAAGTGAAAATCTGTGCGTGTTTACATGTACACTGATGTAAAGGCACTATATATTATGTAATATGAACTAAAACTACGATGTCAATAATAATTAACATCAAGTTTTCAGTATCAAAATTGCGTGTAGTTCACTCAAAAGTCACCTCTGGGATTAATAACTTTAGAAATCGCGAATACTTCACTCATAATTTGCCTCCGAAGTCGCCATATCTGTTGGTGTAAACAAAATAACGCACGATACATACCAAATACGTGTCCGTGTAATTGGTAAATGTCTACAAACATCACCAGTACGTTTTAAATTGCAAAAATATTGAATAACACATGTAATTACGTATTTCCTGCAGTTGGACATTTCAATCTCATAATTGTATCAATTGTAACTAATTATTAAGGTTCTCCTCCTTCCGAATCTTCCGGTCTTGGATCTTTCCTAAACGTTTTCTGTTCCAAGCAAACAACTCACTTTGCGGTAGCCAGATAAAAGGATAAAAAATAAGAAAAATTAATTCTCCTTTCATTGTTTAAAAAAAACGTTGGGATTCATTTTATTTGTAACTCAAACGAGGGGTATGTACCGACATTGATTTATACTAGAAGTCATTTTTCGTCTTAAATCATTAATCTAGCAAAAACATCGCTGCTTATCTACGAAATCTTCCATTTGTGTTACGTTCAAGTCTGCAACGCCGAGCAACGTCATCATTTAGTTTCCATATTGTTCAAATCTATTTACGCAAACCCTTATCCGACAGTTGGAATATAAATGGTGAGCGTCCAGCATTGAAAACCACATCATTTAACACTTGCCATATTGTAATATAAAACAGAAAACGGACCAGTCATTCGCATGGCTCATCTACCATTTCCGGAAATTCGTGTTTTGTATCTCAAGAGTCGCCAGGATTTGTCGCCCCTTCTATTTCGCGGGTGGTTTCCTGCCTCAGAGGGCGTTGTCATTGAATTTATCCAAATTAAACAAATTAATCTCCAAATTCACGATGTGTGCTTTTCACAGTACAACAAATACATTGCAATTCAATTAATTCACTGTAATTGCAGTTCTTTATACCTACCCTTTATTAAAGGAGGGGTTGGGAACGGCCTGTACATAGTGTTAAGAAAACAAAGTCTCTCACTAAACTGACGGAGCATGCTCCTTTGGCTCAGTTGGCAGTCTAGAAATGTCGGGATTATCGAGTTCGATTCTTGTATGGGCAATGCTTCCTTCTTCCTAAATTAAGAATAAGGAGACGAATTGAAATAAGTACTTACTACTTATTTTTGAACCCTCCTTTTTTGTAGATTCATTGCTTCATCGCCATGTGTGCACTGAATAAAATACATTAAATTAAAACAATACCAACATGTAAACATGATCATAATTCAAATTCAATAAAACTAGGTCAAAATATGAAGTAAAGAAATATTTAGTACGAGAATAGAATCAGGTGTTCAGGAAGAGTAAACGTTTTCTGCTACATCGAAGACACCTGTCATGCCATTTCGAAAGGCTGCTCTGCACCGCAGTCAACAATATTATATTGTTATCTGTTATTTCATATATCAAATTTGCCAAAAAGCT